GCCACGCTTCCCAAGCGGCGCACTGTAGCAGTGCGCCACCGGGCCGGCCCCTGATAGCAGTTTTTTTGTGGTCCAGGTTCTAGTCCAGGATCATTTCATGTCTCTTAAATCTTTTAATCTTCACTGGTTCCTAGTGACATCGTGTCCTTCTCAGTGCATCACATTAGGAGGTACAAGATATCTGTTTATGTCGTTATTGATAATGTTGACTCTGATCACATATGTAAAGTATTGTCCAGGTTCTCCATTGTAAAGTTTTTTTTTTTTTTTTTTGGCATTTGGATGGTACTGGGATCTGAACCCTTGACCTTGGTGTTATCAGCACCATGTTCTCTCAAGTGAGCAAACCGTTCAACCCTATATTTTTCTTTTTAATATGTGGGAAAATAGTTTGATACTATATAAATACCTTGTTCCTCACCAATCTTTAGTTTAGCATTTGTTGATAATTCTTTCCTGATTTAGATATTATTACTATGACAGTTGTTTACTTATCATTGTTATGTAATGCTCACGTCGCAAATTTGGCCAGTGGGAGGCCTTTCAAGCATGATCCTACTGATTCTCACTCTGTTTTCTTTTTCTTTTTTTTTTTTTAAATGATGACCGGTAAGGGGATCTTAACCCTTGACTTGGTGTTGTCAGCACCACGTCACCCATTGAGTTAACTGGCCATCCCTATATGGCATCCGAACCCATGGCCTTGTTGTCAGCACCACACTCTCCGGAGTAAGCCACAGGCCGGCCCCTCACTCTGTTTTCAATCTGTATTTTTTTCTTAAAGTGTTTTCAAAAATCTCATCTACTAAATACCACATGTTCTCACTTATTGGTGGGAGCTAAAAATAAATAAATTCACTCACACACACAAAAAATAACTGGGGGTGGGAGGGGGAAGAAGATATAACAACTACAATCCTTTGAAGTTGTTACAACAAGCAAACGGAAAGGACATTGTTGGGTGGGAGGGGGGAGAGGGAGGAGGGAGGGAGGTTTCGGTGGTGGGCCATAATAATCAACCACATTGTATATCGACAAAATAAAAATATAAAGGAAAAAAAAATCTCATCTAGTGTTTAAAGTCTTGCAAATCATTTATTTTACTGGTTCCAAATTCATTTACTTTTCAAGATGGTTTGTGAATGCTTAAGTATCTTTATAATCTCCAAGGAGAGGGATGTTATCTTGATTAATTCTAGATATATAATCTTATTTTTTGTGTACACATCAAAACTGCATTTGGAAATAGAAGAATAATTTTAGTTGGCTTGCTGAATTGTATCGATATGGTGCCTTTTTTTTTTTTTTTCCTTTTTGTCTTTTTTACTGACCGGTAACGGGATCGCAACCCTCGGTGTCGCGCCCGTACCGGGGACCGGCAATGGGATCACAACCCTCGGTGTTGCGCCCGCACCACGCTCAGCCAGTGAGCGGGAACCGGTCTCCACATGGGATCCCAAACCCTCGGCGGGAGCGCTGCTGTGCTGCCAAGTGGCGCACTCCCCAGTGCACCACAGGGCCGGCCTGATGTGGTGCTTTTTGATGTTGATCAGGGGATTAAGGCAGTTAATGTCATTTGTAGTAATTTGCATAATTTAAAGTAAGCCTTCGGGTATATAGGTTTAACTTAGGACACAGCTTGTACTTGCCTTCTCAGTAGTATTGTGTAGTTAAGATTCAGGAATAGTTTGACTTGGAAGCAAAATTGAATACAGGTATTAGCGGGCCTTTCATTGCACGTTATTTTTTTATTATTTTATTTTTTTTAAAGATGACTGGTAAGGGGATCTTAACCCTTGGCTTGGTGTTGTCAGCACCACGCTCACCCAGTGAGCCAACCGGCCATTCCTATATATGATCCGAACCCGTGGCCTCGGCGCTCTCAGCACCACACTCTCCTGAGTGAGCCATGGGCTGGCCCTTCATTGCACGTTACAAAGAGGAACAAACGTTGTGTTTAAGAAAATAAAACAATGCAATAGTACAATTACATGGTGCTATTTTGAATATTTTTTGACTAAACTTTTTTTTGGTACAGGGATTGAACCATGGACGTTGGTGTTGTCAGCACCACGCTGTAACCAACTGAGCTAACTGGCCAGCCCTTTCCTGACTAAATATCTTAAATGATGTTATTAAGCATGCTGATGGACTTCAATATAAAATGTGTTTCTTAGAGAAAAGCACATTTGGCAGAGCAGTGGTATAGAGTTTGCTTTTCTTTCTTTTTTTTTTTTTTAAAAAAAGATGACCAGTAAGGGGATCTTAACCCTTGACTTGGTGTTGTCAGCACCACGCTCACCCAGTGAGCAACCGGCCATCCCTATATGGGATCCGAACCTGTGGCCTTGATGTTATCAGCACCACACTCTCCCGAGTGAGCCACAGGCTGGCCCAGAGAGTTTGCTTTTCTAATTTAATGTTAAAATTTGGGGGCAAATGTTTTATCTGTATTTCTGTGGTTAATTAAAATAAGAGATAATAGGTGGAATTTTATTTAAAAGTCAGTCTTAGCCAGTTATAACCACTGTTAAAGTCATAAGTAGTTTGTGAGTGAGTTTAATGGAAGGGCCTGTTCTTTGTTTTCTAGGGGCTTTTAATCTAGTTGGAAATTGCTTGTACATGAAACAAGACAGAATGCAGTTTAGTTTCCAGTTGTGAATGCAGATTTAGGAGAAGGACATTGAAAAGCTGCAGTGGAAAGAAGTCTCAAAGAAAGGCAGGGGTTTTGAACTGTACCTCGAAGGACAGAGGGGAACAGCCAGGCATTCTTAGCTTAATAATAAAAGCAATAAGAAGGAGAATTAATCAAGAAACGCACCTCACTCCTGATTTCCTGAAGCCAGTGGTATATGTTGATCAGTAATAGAAGGGAGGTTAGATAAATGGTATTTATCTAGGTTTTGTAAGATAAAACCAGGTAGATGAGTTTAAAATTGATATGAGAAATAAGGCGCTGTTGGAAGTTTGACTTCGGCCAATTCCAGAGTTTTTTTTTTTTTAAACTTCAATTTTCTTTTATAAACAATATATACATTATTGAAACTTTGGGGGAGTGTGTTGAAAGAGGAGGGAAAGTCAGTACTGCTGCCCAGGAAAAACTTGGAAGTCTCTTTTTTGTGGGACTGAATTTCATTTTCTTATTCTTAAATTGAATTTGATTTCCAGAAATTGGAGTGTAATGGTGAGTTGTTTGGTTTAACTTGAAATTTCAAAACGATTTCTTTTAAAAATAATATCCCAGATATTGTATTGGTGGGTTTCTCTGAAATCCAGATATATGATGTGAGACATCACAAAAAGACAATTGCTTTTTCTGAATAAGTAATTTACTGTTTTTATATCCATGTAGTAATAACAAGTATTTGTATAGACATAGTGTAGAAAGAGCACAGATGTGGTAGCCACATAGTCCTAGGTTTGAATCTTGGTTCTTTTTTGTCTTAGCTAGGTAATAACCTTGGACAAGTAACTTCTTTGAGCTTTAGTTTTCTTATCTCTAAAACAGGAATAACAACAGTCCTTGCAGAGTGGTTATGAAGATCATTATAATGTACAGTGCCTGGAACGTGGAAGCTCATGACTTGTAGTTGCTTTTCTTTTTAGTAGGAATCATACTGATATCAGAACCGTAGTTAGTTACCACAGGGTAAATGGGAGCAAATATATAAGTTCAGGCTGTGTGCTCTTGATCACCTACTGCTTTTGCTTTTAAAAGCCATGTGTATTGAGCCATGTTTTTTAAAAAATCCTATGCATGAAGTAATGGGTGAAATGGAAGACTGTTAAGGATAAATTATGAAAGACCCATAAAGAATGATTCTTACTAAGACAATGAGCATTTGGGTTTATTTTAGGGGAAACTGAAGTACTATGGTCAGTTTTCAAAATCCATTTCTAAGTAGAATTTTAAGTTTCCATAGGGGAAGAGAGCAGTGTTCTTACCCAGTATTGACTAGGAGCTTTCCGTATGTCAGCTCCTTAAATCTCCACAGTCTTGTGGGCCGGCCCGTGGCTCACTCGGTAGAGTGTGGTGCTGATAACACCAAGGCCATGGGTTCGGATCCCGTATAGGGATGGCCAGTTCACTCACTGGGTGAGCGTGGTGCTGACAACACCAAATCAAGGGTTAAGATCCCCTTTCTGGTCATCTTTTTAAAAAAAAAAAAAAAGACAGTCTTGTGAGATACTGATCCTCACTTTACAGAAAAGGAAATTGAAGCCTATGGATATGTCCAAGGCATCGGGACTAGTATGGGATTTGAATTTAGGTCAGTCTAACTTACAGAATGCTGTGTATGCTGCTGCCCTTCAGGCCGTTGATATATGTTTGAGTTACTTTCTTTAGGCCCATATTTTTGGTGACTGACAAATATTAGCTTAAACCAAGTATAATATGAAGGCAAATCTGTTTACTCATATAGTGAATTTTAACATCAGAGAAAAACAATTTTGCATTCATTGGGATGCTTGAGTGTAATACTTTGATTTAAAATATAAGAAGTAGCCAGGCACGCTGGCTGTAGTCCCAGCTACTCAGGAGGCTGAGGCAGGCCAGGAGGATTGCTTGAGCTCAGGAGTTTGGGGCTGGAGTGCGCTATGCCACTTGGGTGCTGGCACTAAGTTTGGCATTGATGTGGAGACCTCCCAGGAGTGGGGGACCACCATGTTGATTAAGGAGTGATCTGGCCCAGGTTGGAAATGGAGCAGGTCAAAACTCCTGTGCTAATTAGTGGAATCAAACCTGTGAATAGCTACTGCTTTCTAGTGTGGGCAACATAGCAAGACCCTGCCTCTTAAAAAAAAAAAAGAAAAAAAAAATATATATATATATATTTACATATATAATATAAAGTAAAAGCTAGTTTTTATTGTGGGGAATGTTGTATCTAGCACAAATAATTAAATTTCTCAGTTAATTCTGTGCAATTTTAATTTTTAAGCAAGCATGTTCAGATAAGTTTTAACTAACTATCTCAACTTTTTTCTTAACTCTGTAGGAACGTCAAGGTCGTGGGAAATAAAAGGCAGTTCTGCACAGGCTGCAGCAACCGTTGCATCTGCATATCCTAAGAGGAAAAAATGACCTTCAAGAAAATTAGGACTTTTTTCTTAATTTCATTGACTTCAGAGACGATTGCAGACTTGCAGTTTAAGTATTGGAATTTCACAAAAGACATAGGACTTAACTGGAAAATGGAAAAAAAAAGAAAAAGAAAAAGGAAAAAGGAAACAAAAAAATCCCTCTAGGTAGTTTAGGTGAAAAATGTCCCTTTTATTTTGGCTTTGGTTGTGATTTCAGAGCATAATGCTTTGTTTTTTTGTCTTTTTACTATGTTTTTCGGATTTTTAAGTCCGTAAGTGCATACAGTTTTCTCTAATTTTTAAACCCTTTTTTTTTTTAGTATGTTTTTCGGATTTTTAAGTCCGTAAGTGCATACAGTTTTCTCTAATTTTTAAACCCTTTCCTCCTCCCATTTTGACATTTGCATTTGGAGAACACTTGAGTTGCAAAGGTTTTGGGCATCCACCCCAGAAAGTGGGAATTCGATTTTTTTCTCTTCCGAACTGGAAGAACATTTTTATGAAGAATTTTTGTCTAGGAGAATTTAACAGTGTTACCCAGGGTTGTGTCTTTAAGGGTGGTTCATTTTCTATGACCCTTTGTTACTCAAAGTAAAGTACTAGGAGTCCTAAGAAATGTTCTGTTCTTGTACATTATACTGATTAAGTCAGGATTAATTTGATTTCAAAGCTAAGAACAGTGGTAAAAACTCGTTTACAGAAATGCATTTGGAAGAGAAAAATATTGTAAAATGTGTAGTGAATGTTTCTTCAGTTTCTTGTTCAGCCAATGAGGAAAGGGCATTGCCTTTCTTTTTACCATTAATCACTTCTCAATAAACGTGAGATCCTGTTGAGCATCACTTCTAGTACCATTTACTATTATTTGAGTCTGCTATATTTTATGGAAGATTTGGAGGGTAAGGAGTTCTAAGAGGTGAGACAGTAATTAATTTTAGAAAATTTGTGCTGACAGGAAATAATTTAGGCTTGCTTTGTCTCCAGGGCTGGATAACCATGACCTCTGTGAATCAGTCTGGGCTGATACTCATAATACTTTATTTCTGGATACATTCCAGAGAAGGCAGAGCCACTTCAAAATCATTTATTCAACAAATATTTGACTGTGAACTCTGAGTGTTTATTAGGTGCCAGGCACTATGCTAACACCATAAAAATCTGACCAGCTGTTTTAGATGCAGAGAAGGTAGAGCCCAGTATCAAGGATATAAGTGTTTAATTGAACTATGGTTTATCTAGACAGTATTACACATGGATGCAGGTCCCAAAAGTTGAAATTCTAATGGGCTTGCGTGTGTGTGAACTTTATAACTGTAATGGCCTTTGATTCATTCTTGTTTATTCCATAAGGTTGGGAGGCTTCTCTACTTTAAAGATTTTTAGCTCTTAAGATGTTGCAATTTTGGAGACATCTTAGTATAAATGTGTGAAAACATCTATACTAAGAAAGGTTTCTGAAAATGGATTTTTTTTTTTTTTTTGGTGACCGGTAAGGGGATCGCAACCCTTGGCGTGGTGTAGCCCGTACTGCGCTCAGCCAGTGAGCGCACTGGCCATCCCTATATAGGATCTGAACCTGCGGCGGGAGCGCCGCGGCTCTCCCGAGTGCGCCACAGGGCCGGCCCTTGAAAATGGGTTTTAATACTGTTGGACAGTTTTGCCCTCAGATGACTTACTCATTCTGTTCTACACAAGCCTGGGCTACTAAGTCAGGGGGGCCAATAAAATGAATAAATGCTGATTTTTTTTTTTTTTTTTTTTTTTTTTTTTTTTTTTTAATACTGTTGGACAGTTTTGCCCTCAGATGACTTACTCATTCTGTTCTACACAAGCCCGGGCTACTAAGTCAGGGGGGCCAATAAAATGAATAAATGCTGATTTTTTTTTTTTTTTTTTTGTCTTTTTCGTGACCGGTAAGGGGATCGCAACCCTTGGTGTGGTGTTGCCCACACCGCACTCAGCCAGTGAGCGCACCAGCCATCCCTAAATAGGATCCGAACCCGTGGCGTGAGCGTCGCTGCACTCCCAGTGCTGCACTCTCCCGAGTGCGCCACGGGCTCGGCCCAATAAATGCTGATTTCTGATTAGGATTATAGTTGACAGTTCCAATCAAGAACTTTTCTTTGCCTACCAGAGGCACAGTACAAAATTCCTAGACATTCCTATCTGCCAAGCTTTTTAAAAAATACATTTCCTCCAAATTGGGGAGTCCTTTGTATCTTCAGTTTGAAGATGCTGGATTTCCCAGTAAGAAATGTAAACTGTGACTTCTAGAGGACTCCCATAGGCTTCATTGTTTAGTATTTCAGCTTCAAAAGGGAAAATATCTAGACAAAAGCAATTTTACCTAGGTTTTCCTGCATTGTAGTCAAGTTGGATATAAGATTTTTGAAGGTGATTTTTTGCAATTTGAAATGTTAGCACCTTAGCAGATTAAACCAATGTTTTCCAATCTTTCTTTTCATATCAAATACAGTAAATACTATTGCAGCTTTGGGAGTAGACTGAAAGGAATTTGGAACCTCTAACAAGGCTGTTCACCTAGCCCCTCTTGAGTATTGAGGATTTCAGGATATTGGGTTTGTGTATTTTTTTCAAACTACATTGGCTTTTCTGTAGTTTAAAAATTAGATTATGTTTATTTTGAGAGTTTGGTCCAAAAGTTGGTTTAGTGAAGACCCCAAAATGCAGCTGAAGTAAGTTCTCTTATCTGCTAAAGACAACTTTGCCAGTGGGAATTGTTAACTTTTGACAGTTTTCAAGGCTTTGTTCTGTTCTGTCAGTTGTGAATGTAAGAACTGAATAGCCATGTTTATTTTTTTCCTTTGTTGAAGATGAGGGGAAATTGAACAATATCGCTACATCCATCAGTCTTATAATTCAAAGAGTTTTAAACCTTTAAAATGAACAGCGTGTGTAAACTCATTCACTCAATTTAATTTTAGCTGTATTTGATGGGCTGTCTTTTCCCAACATGTACCATTTTTTAAAACATTTTGAAATAATTTTACACTTTTGCAAAAATAGTATGGGGAGTTCTCATATGCCCTTCACTCAGCTTCCCCCAGATGTTAACATCTTGCATAACCATAGTAAAATTATCAAAACCAGTAAATATTGATAATGTACTTTGTGGTGTTTGTTTTTTTCGTGGCTGGCTGGTAAGGGGATCCCAACCCTTGACTTTGGTGTTGTAACACCACACTGTAACCAACTGAGCTAACCAGTCAGCCCCTGATAAAGTACAATTAACTAATGTACAGGCCTTATTTTACTTATGCCAATTGTCACACTAATGTCTTTTTTTTTTCTGGTTCTGCATCCAGTCCAGGATCTCACATTGCATTTAGTTGACTTAGTCTTCTCTAGCCTGTGACATTTCTTCAGTCTTCATCTTGACACTGACTTGACACTTGACATTGTGGAGAGTACTGGTCTGTTATTTTATAGAATGCCCTTTGAACTGAATTTATCTGATAATTTCTCACTAGTTGAGGTTTTTCTTTGGCAAGAATGCCACGAAAGTACTATGCCCTTTCATTCCATTGTATCAGGATATGTGATGTTGATAAGGTTTATTACTGGTGATAACTTTGATCACTGAAAGTGATGTCTGCCACATTTCTCCACTGTGAAGTTATTTTCCCTTTGTAGTAACTTGGGAGCAGAGGCTATACCTTGAAACTGTCATTCTTTGACTCACTAATTTTGGCATCTGTGGATTGTTATTGCCTGTTAACAAGTATTACTGTGGTGTTTGTCAATTGTTAGTTCATTATTTCTATTCCTTCTGTATTTATAGAATTCTGTAAGGAGTGTCCCTTCTCCCCATCTATTCAGTTACGTCAGTATGGACTCATATTTTATTCCAAGTCAATGCTATCATTTATTTTGTTGCTCAGATTGTCCCAGTTTTGGCCATTGGAGGAGCACCTCTAAATTGGCTCCTGTATCTTTTTGACATGCCCCCAATATTTTTGGAGCCCACCCTTTCTTTCTGGTATCACAAGATATTCCAAGCTAGTCTTATATATTTTCCCTACCCCAACCCCATTTTTCCAAGGAATTCTGGTTCCTTTTATTGGAGAATATTTAGAGAGCATCCTTTTTTAAAAAAAGAATTACTGAAATTGCAATAGATTATTGAAAAAAAATTTTTTAAAAGATGACTGGTAAGGGGATTTTAACCCTTGACTTGGTGTTATCAGCACCACACTCTCCCAAGTGAGCCACGGGCTGGCCCTTAAACTTTTTTTTTTTTAAGTGGTGTAAGTTGAGACTTATTTAGCCTAATCAAACACTTCACCACTTCATTTCTTACTCCCCTTTCATGAGGCTGTATATATATGAATGAATCTTCTGAAGTTATGGAGAGGGCTTTCACTTGGCATAATACATCACATAGAGTGCTGCTCAGTGGGGGTTGGTTTGCATCTTTACATAATTTCTACCTATAGTCCTGTAAAAAAGACCCCAAGCGTTGAAAGTCTTGGTTCCCTTACTTCCCAAACTGTTTTAGGGTTTCAGAGCTTTTTCTACCTGTGAGAAAATAAATGGTCACGTACTATAAGGTTTTCCATTTTTCACTATAGAGCTAATATAGCACTTGAATATTACCACTTACTTTGATTTTTATTTGAAAATAATTTATCTTTGGTCTGTGTGTTATGTGAAAATGGGAGTGGAAGTAAAAGTGTCCTTAGGATTCGTATCTGTTAAGTCCGTTTACAGTCAATTTTTTCTGCTTTGGGAAACAGTGCCACTTTCTTATGGTAGCTGGTGAAACTCTACCCGAGAAGACTTATTTGGAACTGTAATATTTAATTACATGTGCTGGGTTTGCACATGGAAAGCTGACAGGGCTGTGGGATAAACCAACCATCCCCAGCGAGGTTGAGTGAATTGGAGAAGGTCTCACAGCCTTCAGGGCCCTTAGTTCCAGGTTCCCGCCCGGCTCCGGAGCTCGGCCTGCGGGGCGGGACCCTCACGAACCGCCTCGCTCCGCCCCGCGGCCGGGCTTGGCGGCTGGACGGCGTGCGCGCAGTGCCGGCAGCCGGAGGAGGGCAGGTCTGTCCTGCTCCCCGCTGGTTTTCTGCAAGCTCCGCCGGCTCGCC